CCTTTCCACTAACAGTAGCAGCCACTAAATATATGGCACCCTTTTGAATGCTTCCAACATTTCCCAACAGCGTATCTTTGTAGTCCGTCCAAACATCAACTGGGAAGAACCGGTCTACAACTTCTATCCCGTGACGAACGTACTCTTTGTCCTTGCCACCAACGAGCTTGAATCTCATTTTCTTTAGCATCCGAAAACGGTCAGACTGGTCAAGATCAACAATCCAGGTCTCAGGATTACCCTCGCCAACTCCAATAAATATCTTGTCAGTTGTAGGGACGGAATCTGACGGACTATTATCACTGATGACAAAAAACAACAGGTGGTGGACCACAGCTTCGTCCTTAGCATCCTGTCCCAATTGAACATTACCAATGAATTTGATACCCTTAACCACGATCTTGTCTGATTAACGATTAGATCTCTTATTACCCAACTCAATACCATTAAGTAATCTCGCCACGCCTTTATTATCAAACTTAACGTCCCTTAATTGTTCATCGTATAGTTGTAATTTCTTACTCCCCTCTTAGTCTTCTTAATAAATCGGGAAATATTCTGAACGTACCGTCTGCGAACATACTAGGTCTTAAAAGGTACACGACTACGGTAACTACGCCTATATCTACTGGCCGCTGGTGTCCTTGACCTCCGGTACGCAAGGGGGGTCCGGTAATGGCTGCTTCCTATTCCTTCCATTTTTTATAAATAACTCCAAATCTTTTATACGAACACTTCTACAGGATCTGTTACCTCTGCTAACCCTACTGTTCAGACACCTTAGCTTTGATATTTTTGCCCTCTGATCTTCGTACACCGGAACAAACTTCACCAGAGCACTCTGCCGGCTTTCTTCCCACAGTCCTAGTTGCCACGTCAAAAAGCGATCTACACATATTTGAGTGAACTGTCCGTAATTCTCGGGATACTCTTCTAAGGAGTACAACATTGTATACCAAATAAATCGACAAAAATGGCAGAAAGAAAAGGAGGACGAAACAAGGTACCAGAAAATCACCTCAGTGTAATAACTCTCCAACTGCAAAAGCATATCTCTCTTATCTCTCTCCACCGACAAATATCTGAGGCTGCACCCAGATATATAGACAGCTGTAAATACGGAGATTCAGAATTTGAAATTTGAATTCCCGCCCATTACTGTTCATTCATGTAGAATTCTGTGCACCTTTGCTTTATATCCAAGCAAAACCACCACGATCGTGACACGTGGGTGGACAGGAAATGGCCACGTCGACTCACACCAAGCCCCGGCTACTCACACCAAATAGTGATTACTATTTGGTGTGAGTACGGATTTAATCTTCGCCTTACACGTCACCATTCGTACGTCCATCAACGGATGAAATTGCCTAACGGGTACAATTTCAACAGGGGGCGCTAGTAATATTATATATAGCGCCCCCCTCAGCTGGTGTGACCTTCCCCTATATAAAGCCTCGACAAATAACATTCACACCTGTGTAAGTTAAGTGTTAATCACTAAATAAGCTAAATAATGCCTCGCCAAGCCTCTTTCCGTTTTTATGCCAAGAATGTTTTCCTCACCTACCCACAATGCCCATGCCCAAAAGAACAACTCTTAGAACTCCTCCAATCTCTCCTCCAACTAGCCTGTCAGCCATACTATACTCTCAAATCACATTTACAAAACACAACCAAGCGCAGGCATACATTTTAAACCCCTTCATAATTATAAAGTTTTGCATAAAGGACAAAATTTATTATTTAAATATTTTATTAGACTATTATATCCTCAACTAAATTTTCTCACCTTTTCTATCCACTCTCTCCCTACCTTCTCTGTCTCTCTCCTCCCTCTTTTCCTTTTGACTTTGTTCTCCGTTGACGTGCTCCTTCTCCTTCTCGTTGCCTCGGTCGCCGTTGATGGCCGTGACATGATTAGATTACCGTCGGAAACTTCCAGATTCTTCTCCGGCGATGATAGCAACGATGGCTATGATGATTTCCTTCAAGATCTGAAGCTTTGTTTCTTGACAATTTTGGTAACTTCTTCTTCTCCGGCGATAATAGCAACGTTATCGTCATCACTTTCCTAGCCAAGTCCGGTCAGTTATCAGGCGAAACTCCGGCGATCAACAATGCCGAAACCGATTTCTACGATGAACTCATCAAGAACATCGGGAACGAAATCAACTACGGGTCGAAAAATTGTCCTCCGGTGCCGGAATCGAAGGAGATCGTCTAGAGGAGAAACAGATCGTCTCTAAATTGAGGCATGTTTGGTGGAGTTGTTTGGTTATACATATTTTTTTAAACACAGATTTGAGTTTTGAATATATGTAATATATATATATATATTTGTGTGTATGAGTGTTGTTGAATACATGTATTCTTTTCATTGAGATTTGTGATTGTTGATTGAGTTTTAGAAGTTTTTCTTCTCAATTAGATATGTTGATTTGTTGATTAATTTGTTTTGTTTTTGTTTGTTTGTTTGTTTGTTTTTGAATTGAGATTTGTGATTGTTGATCGAGTTTTAGAAGTTTTTCTTTTCAATTAGATATGTTGATTTGTTGATTAATTTGTTTTGTTTTTGTTTATTTGTGTTTTTTTTTTATTTATTTTTGTTGTTTTTGATCTAATTTCATTTGACAGAACCAGAATAAAATATTGCTCTGCTTTTTGTTTCAGATAATGAGAGTAAAATTTTATTCTTGTTCTATTGCTCCGTTTTTTGTTTGAGAGAATTAGAGTAAAATTTTACTCTGGTGTTAGAATGACAGTAAAGTTTTACTGTCAAGAGGTGGTCATTGCCAAACATTTCAGCCGCCACAAATACTGCCTTCGCTTTTTTACTTTTGTGCAGAGTAACATTTTACTTTTAGCTTCAGAGTAAAATTTTACTTTTATACAGAGTAAAATTTTACTTTTGTGTAGAGTCTAACATTTTACTAGTTTTTCAGAGTAAAATTTTACTTTTATACAGAGTAAAATTTTACTTTTGTGTAGAGTTTAACATTTTACTAGTTTTTCAGAATAAAATTTTACTTTTATATAGAGTAAAATTTTACTCTGAAATACACAGTGAAGATGACTTAATAGGAGAGCTGATAGATATGAAGGTAATATAGTAAAAGAAACAAGCTTTAAAATATTAGGGGGTTTTGAAAGTATTTATATAATTCTTGTCCTTTTGAAAGATAAATTAGATAGTAAGGGAGTTATCATCAAATCCCCCATTTTTTTATGCAAGTGGGGCCGTTTGGATTTTGAATTTATGGAGTGAAAATTATATAATCATTTTTTTCCCCCAGTTCTCTTTCTATTTCTTTTCAATTACAATTTTATTATGATCCAAACATAAAGCATTAGGAGTGCCGCGTGTGTGTGTGCGTGTGTGTGTGGAGATGGTGATTGCTTGACCTCTCATGGTGCTATTTTTTACGTGCCTCAAGAGCACATGATGACTTAGATCTTGGGTTTGGTTGAGGCACATGATGACTTAGACCTTGGGTTTGGCCTAGTTGTCATCTTAAGGTGTGAAGGTGTGGTGAGGGGTAAGTCAGATGTACGAACTGATAGAATAGCGGCGACTCCATTAGTTGTTATCTAATATTACTAATAAATTAATATCTTACAATTTTGGGCAAAAAAAAGAAAAAAAAAAAAGAAAGCAATGCAAAACTTACGAATTTCAATGGGTAATTAAGCACCACAAGCTTAGTTCATTGATCGAGAAAGATTTAGTCTCACTCTCTCAATGTATAGAAGTCAGGTGGGATGGTCAGTCAAAATAAATCAAAAGAAACCGTTACTTTTTAGGTCTACAATGTTAGTGGCAATCAAAATTTTACAAGTTATGGCTGTTTTTAGTTTATAGATTTGGGGAGAAATTTAAAAAGAAAGAGAGAAAATGTGTGAAATGTAATTATATTTTGCATACATTTTATTCATTTTTTTTCTTTCTCTTTTCAATCTCTTCTCAAATTCATAAATCAAACACAACATAAATGTTTTTTTCCTCACATAGGGTGTAGGGTTCACATCTAGTATGAATCTCACATCCTGTAAAATTTTGTGTATTCAAATACACATTTGAGTAACCATCGGGAGTGGTGACCTAGTGGAGAAAGTAGTTCTCTTCACTAGGGTGACCTAGGTTCAAATTCTTAGGGTGTAAAAAATGGCTAGATTTTCAGCTAGCTCTTTTTGAGATTTTGCATTGTATTTCGATCGATTTTGAATTCTTCTGTGACGTGTGGCTGAATTCCATTGATACTTTGGTGGTGAGTCCCTTTCTATGAGTTGGGTTAAATTTAACCGACAACTGACTATCCTAGATTGGTGTCTAGGGATGCAATGATGACACCACAAAATATTTTTTTTGTTTTTGTTCAAAAAAACAAAAACAAGAGCACATTCGAGTAGTTTTGGACAAGTTTTGAGCGTTCGTTTTGATTGCACATTGTACGGATTAACTAAATGTTATTACGTTTGCTGGTAATAATTAGAGAATTCATGTGAACGTATATTTGTTTGGTAAATAAAAGACACTATTGCTCAAGTCCAATTCAGACACACTTTTTTATGTGGAATGGAATTTTGTCCTGTTTTTAAACAAAACAATAAGAGTAATAATAATAATAATAATAATAATAATAATAATTTTACTCAAAAGAAATGAAAGGAAAAATTATAAATCCATGGTGCCTTTATGTTAAAATCCACCTACTCTCCACCTACTTCACCCACTTAAACCTACTCCACTAAACCTAACCCACTAAATCCACATACTCTCCACCTACTTCACCCACTTAAACCATGCACTGAATTATAATTTCTTCAAAACAAAATGTGTACCGGGTCTAGATAAGAGATGAGTAGGCCAATTTTAATGCAATATAAAAGTGTCCTACTAATGCATAATATTTATGTAGATATATATCTACAAATGTAACACAGCAATGCTTGCATCAATAGTGTCAATATTCCACCCTTTCAACTCGTGACTAATGTAGTTGCAGAGTGCAAGTGCAAACTGTGTATGATTATGAACTAGAAGATCTCACTTATGTTCAGTGAAAATAGGAAAACCTCTATCTGAAACGCTCTACATTTAAAAAAATCAAAAAAATACTCAAAAAGTTTGAACTTAGGTGTGATGGGTCACGGTCAAAATAAATCTGACACACATTACAAATTTTAAATATCTTTATTAATAATATATATATATATATATATTTGAATAAATAGCATTGCTGATTAGTATTATGCCCACTACATAACTAATCTAAAGTTGCTTCCTGTTGTCAATTTGAACTTCATGTAGTACAAAATCTATGCTGATTCAGGATTGAGAAGTGCTCATGACCAAGCCTTTCAGCGCTGGCATTAAGCCTTCCAGGAGCTCCCTTTTACTCAAAATTCTATCGGATGTACAGTCTTCATCCTAACCACAAAGCAAAATCATTCGTAAAATAGCAAGTGATCAGCATATAAAATAAAACAGGTCTGTGATTTACCGTAGTCTCACAAACAATGATTGTGAAGGCATACTAGTGTTGCTAGAAAACAATTTTGACTCTATTAATAAATAGAAGAGAACTATAAATGAATAGTATCAAAAATTTACTTCAGAGTGCAATTGAATTGGAAAAAATGCAATATTAACTCACATCACCAGTTGCAGCAGACATGAGTGCTAAAAGGGTCACAGTTGCACTATGGTAATCCATTAAGATCTTGTATGCTGAATACCAAGCCTTTCAGCGCTGGCATTAAGCCTTCCAGGAGCTCCCTTTTACTCAAAATTCTATCGGATGTACAGTCTTCATCCTAACCACAAAGCAAAATCATTCATAAAATAGCAAGTGATCAGCATACAAAATAAAACAGGTCTGTGATTTACCGTAGTCTCACAAACAATGATTGTAGTGTTGCTAGAAAACAATTTTAACTCTATTAATAAATAGAAGAGAACTTTAAATGAATAGTATCAAATATTTACTTAAGAGTGCAATGGAATTGGAAAAAATGCAATATTAACTCACATCACCAGTTGCAGCAGACATGAGTGCTAAAAGGGTCACAGTTGCACTATGGTAATCCATTAAGATCTTGTATGCTGAATCATCTAATTTGTCCTGCAACATTGACCCAAGCTTGAGAGACAAATCAGAAAAAAAAGAAGAAAAAAGAATTAACCAACTCGAACATTGAATCCTAACATGTAAGAAAAACATCCAAATGTTCATGTAAGAAAAAAGAAAAAAGAAACACATCCATGTAAGAAAAAAGAAAAAAGAATTACCTTGCATACTGATAAACATATATTTTTCAAGTGTTCATGTTGCCGCATTTATTAGTAACCATCTACACATTGAATCCTAACATGTCTCTACAAACACATCCAAATCCTCTATAGGAGGTATATTTTGCAAAGTTTATATTGTTTAAAAGACGGAATCTAACCTGCAACCACTAAAACCCTTTCCAACCAATAGTTCTGGCATATATTTTTTCTTGGCTAAACATGTAAATTGGGCCAAATCCTTTTCCTATATTCGAAACTGGGTAGGATTTACCAAATAAAAAAGATACATATATAGGTAGGGAAATAACTACTGAGATCCGTGAGGGCATTTAAGACAGACATCTAATCAAATAATGCCTATTTGAAAAGGCTAATTTGTGTAATCTTTTTCTCCGAAGCTCCAAGGTTTTCTTCTTCTTCTTCTTCTTCTTCTTTTTTCTTTTTATTTTTTTAACAAAGGAAAACAAGTGTATGTAGTCCCGCCATGATTTCAGGTAAATGGAAAATACACTATAGTCTATAGACCTTTGCTTCACTTGGAATAATTACAAAGACAGTTCATACCTTCAATCGGGAAACAGCAACGAAAATGGCCCTCCCAGGGGCCTGAAGAGCTTTATTGTGAACCTAACAAAGAAAAAAAGAAAAAAAAAAAGTTCAGAACAAGTAGAAGAATGAGTGCCTTTATATAAAAGTAGGTAATGGCTTCAAAAAGTGAAAATTGATTGACCTGTATATAAAGTAGGGATACAACTTTTGCGAGAAGTGACACTGGGTCAGTTTCGGCGGAAACTTGAGATGTCAAATCCTACAAATAAAAGAAAACTTATTGCATGTGAATTACCATGAAATTCATGCTAACATGTCTATCATCACTTGGACGTGAAGAATGAAGGTAACCACTATTTTGATCATATATCAAACTTTACATTTACAAGAAGAAAATACGAAAGGATAAAAAAATAACTTCAATATAGCACATCATTTCATAGTTCTAAAACAGTTGCTAATACAATAAAGCAAAAGAATATCAGCAAATAATGTTATGAACCCAATGTGGCCCATGCTATAATCCTCAACATACAAGTTAACACTAGGATTGCCTACTTTTAGTAGTGCCAGGAATTGACGATTTTGTGTGTGTGTGGGTGCAAGTGTGGAGAGAGAGAGAGAGAGAGAGAGAGAAGGCACACCTTGCGATATGAGTGCAGAAGAGTTCTTTCTAATTTTTTATCAAGTTTTTTCAAAGTTAACCCACTGCAGATATACACAAACCAATACATATGCTTAGTGCCATACTGATAGAAATGTCTCATAAGAAGACAAATGGAGTAAATAAACCAGCTTCGCTACGTTTCCTCAGCTATGTCTCTCAGTGCAGTCATAAATGTTTCCACTTGCTGCAATACACAACATTAAGCTATTAGAGTCATCGATATGACCTGAATATAAAATGATAAGCAATAACAAAGAGTTCTCTGAATGCATCAAATCAATCCCTCACAGGATGTAAAGAAAGTAGTTGAGATTACAGCTTTTCCCCCTTCTCCCTAGGGGTGCAACTCGGGCGGGCTCAACTAGAGCAACCAACAACAACAACAAAATGGTATATAAAGTAAACCACTAAAATAGGCGAAGATGTACCGACAGAAAAAAGTTCAGATAACACAAGAAGAAAGAAATTACACACACCTACACTCATTCCCACCCAAAATTCACCCCAAGAAAAGTACCAGAAGCCAAATATAGACACCAATTATTAAAAAAGAAAGAGAGGTGTTTCCTACAAACAACAGCTAACCTTCCCTTCTGAAGCTTCAACTACTGCAACAGCCTTAACTGAAAGAGGTTCTGGAAGGCTCTTTGCCTGTAAAAACAAAAGAAGAAACCAGAAAAATTACAACTCAAATTGGTTGCAAAAGTAACTGAGCTTTATTAGGCAGCAAAATATTCCATACAAGAGTTAATCTCTCTCCAGAACTAAGTGATGCGGGTTCTGAATTTTGAGATTCATCAACTTCAATTCCAGTCTTTAACTTGTTGAGCATGTCCTACATTGGAAAAACACTTGGTATAAGGCCTCCTGTACATCTTAACATGGATTTAGTCCATTTAGACGAAGTAAGCCAATAAGGGGAAACGGTGCATATGTGCTACCAGATTAAGTAAGAGAGTGTCCATCATAGAGGTAGCTGTGGTTCTTAACAAATGTCTGTGCAAAATAACCTGTGCATCATAAAACACCTGTTTTACTATTGTATCATCAATAGCAATCTATTACAATAGAAATAGCAGAAAAACTTACTGAGGTTGATTGGTCATCTTCAAACAAATCTAGCGCCTTTTCATATAGCTGCATATTTAAGAAAGACTGCTACCAGCAAATATTGAAAAGGGCATAAGAAGTCAGTTTACCATAGTTTTAATAGTATACTCTCTAACTTGAAATGGGTAAAAAAACCAAAGAACAAAACATAAGGTGCTCGAGGGAATGAGGTGTTAGTGCATACTGTAGTGTGATATTGGGCTCCACAACAATAATGATAACTTCATAGAGGAGCAAAAAAGTAATGTATGGATCCACTAGGGTTGGCCCAATTGCCAGAACTTGTGCACTCACGAGTTTGACTTCCCTCTCCCCCTCCAATGTATCCCCCAAAAAATAAGAAGTAATATATGGCAACAAAAAAACAAAAAATTGAAAACATCATAATTATGTTAACCTCATCAATTTTTCTTTGTAAATTATCAAGTAAATGCTTTATTCTCTGAGCATATTCTGTTAATGCCACCTTTCTTCTCTCCTTCCATGAATTGTGCAACATTGGTCTCAAATGATTCACTAAAGGTCTAAGAATTGTCTCAGGATCATCCATGCCTACAAAATTCGACCACTGCATCTGTCAGAATCAACTACAAACTAGATAGCTAATCAGTTGAAAATTTAAGAATGATAATCACAATAAAATTCAATGTACCTTGCTCTTCAAATTCAGGGACCAGCAACATGATCTTCTGAATTAGCCATTCTTCTGAGAGACTAAGGTTTTCCTCTTTCTTCTTATCTGATTCTTTCTTGGCACCTGACTTTGCATCCAACATTTGCAAAGAAGATGCATCCTTGCCTTTCCTCTGGTTCTTTTTCAATTTTGCAGGGATAGGCTCTTGGTTATCTGGACTAGTTTCAACAGCCCCTGTTTTAGCATTCCCTGCTGATTTCCCCTTTTTCTTTTTTGATCCTTTCTCAAAACCTTGTTTACTAGCTCCGATCTCATTACCAGTTTCATTTGACTCAGTTAGGCTGCTGCTTAATTCATTTCTGGGTTTAGCTTCTTTGGTTGCATGCATATCATCACGCAGCCCACTACTGGAATGCCCAAAAAGATTTAAGGTTTCCATCTCCTTGTCCATACGATCAAACAAATCCTGCCAGATGAAGTAAAAGAAAAAAAACATTTGCAAGACTAAGATTTCAACAAGATTCCAAAAGATGATAATAAAATGAACACATGCTTCAGGTGTTACACCATATCCAGGTTCATGGCAGATTCAGCTATAAACTTTAAACAATAAGTTCACATGAACTTGGGGATTCGTCTTTTCATTATGCCAGGTTAAGTATTAGAGTTAAATAAAGAAAGAGAGAGCAAGAGCAAGAGAACACCAACCAAGTGGTCCACTTTCGTGCCAAAACTTCAGCTGTCACGTATATGAAACTAAATCTTGATGTTGATGCAAAATGTGGCGTTGTTTGGTTTCATTTTCAGAATCAATTTTCTGAATTTTTATTTTTGAAAAACTAGAAATTAATTTGATAAAGATAAACACTAAAAAATATTTTTGAATTTTTAAATATTATTTCCGCCCTCAAAAAACGTAAAACCATATGAATATGATGAGTCTTTTTTTTGCAAGTAACACATTCAAATATCACAAGCAGAACCATATGAGCAACATGAGGATTTTGGGACAACAATTATAATATTTTAATGACAAAGTAAGCTATTTTTCCCCATCCCACACACTTCAAAAAAATAAACTCCATAAACTATTTGCTAAGTAATTGAGTCACCAAGTATAGAAAGATAATCCACATCAGTCCCCTCTCCTAAGTCTCCTGACCCCTGTGCTCTTTCAAATGAAAGAAATGTAAGTTTAATTAGTACTTTTGGGAGATCTGCCACCCAATAATTTTGCACCTTCTAACGTCTCAAAGTTGATGGAGTTTTTTTCATTTTTTTTTTTCTTTTTCTCCCACTTATAAGTACAAGAAACACCGGCCTTGTTTGGTTTGTGTTTCTTAAAAAATTTTGGAAAAAATTCTCTACAAATAAGTTTTCAAAAGTAATCAAACCAAACAAATTTTTCCAAATTTTTTTTCCAAAACTTGTTTGGTTTACAAGTTTTCCAAACAAATCTCTCTCTCATACATATCAAATCAATCACTTTTTTCAAAACTCTCTCTCAAAATAATTTTTTAAAACATCTTTTAAAAAAAAATCAAACCAAACAAATTTTTGTACTTTTTATCTGAAAACATGTTTCTCAAATACAAACCAAACAAGCCCACCATGTCCCAGCCAAGACTCGAACCCCACCATTTCCCCTTCGGTGGGTGGCAAAAGATACACTCACGAGTCACACCAACAGCATGTGGTAGCCTCACATAGTCTCATCACACTGATATGTACAGTTCATCTTATGAATTTTTCAAATTATTTTAATTTAAGGGATCTCACCTGGAATACAAAGCATATTTTGATATAGTCTACAGTACATGAACACCAATCCAATCTCTATTAAAATAAAAAAATAAAAAGAGTTAATGATCCTGCCATGCCGTGATAACCACTTGAGCTGAAATCTGCCGTAAGGATGGAGGTGTAATATGAGAAAATGTCAGAACTTTATTAATAAACTTTTTTATTCCTTAACATCACCATAACAAAGCACAAAACCATATTGAAGTAGACAACTGAACCCCTTTGAACTTTTTCAAGTTTCAATTTGTTAGCATGCAACTGTTAGCATGCAACTTTTACACCAGATGACAGCACCAAGCCATTTGATTCACATCCATCAGCTCTAAAAAATTGTCAAGCTGGCTTCTTATGCCAGTTTGAGAACAATTCCTCATGTCCGAACAATGACAAAAACATAATGTGCACACATAATAATTGGTTTATATACATGTAAAGGCTCATATTTGGCAAAACTAACAACAAATTTAGGATGGTTCCTTGTAATTAGGGGATAGTGGTTTTACCTTCACAAAGCCTGCACTGACAACAAACGACTCTCCTAAGAGAATTGCTTTATTAGACTGAAAAACAACATAAAACAAAGAAGTAAATAGAACATACCAAGAAATTAAATGCATAAGCAAATAGTGAAAAGGGAATGGAAAAACACCTTAAGGGCCACCTGAACAGATCGACAAAGGGACAAAATCTTAGATGCATCTTGGGATCCAAAGGATGCAGGTAAAATTAGAAGTGAATCAATCCTGCAGTGGTCCAACCAATTAGGTCTGAAGAAAAAGTATTGTACAATTAGGTCTGAAGAAAAAGCACTCTATAAATGCATTCAAACCACTTTTACAAAATATCCTTTTACATTTAGTCATGTGCTCTAGAGAAGCACCTCAACCCAATAAACACACCAAGGCAAGGCAGCAATAAGAAAGGGCATTCATGGGACATAATCTGATAATATTATGATTATCAAATAGAGATTTATTGAATCAAACAGCTTTCAATTGGGGGAGACGGGGTTTAGAATCATGAAATATCTTTAGATATCAAAACCTAAACAGCCATCTGCCATTTATCCAAGCTAATAAAATCTGGAGTGCCTGAAATGCATATCTGAAATGAATGGGTTGCCCAGTACATGCTATTTTAATGCATTCTAATCATAAAACATCGCAAAATCACTTTAAGTAATTTTGTAGTACATGCCATCAAATAGAAAGGTAGCTAAAGCAGGAAAGATGCTGTGCTTTACAGGGCAGTAGTTATGTTCACATCGTCTGGAATTACTTCAATAATATCCAATGAGTTGACAAAATAAATAAAGAGAGAATCAGAAATACAAAAGAGAATAGGCCATGCTAAAGTTGGGCCCTTACCAGCTACCGCGTTCTATGGCATCCTCTGTAGCAGAATCCAACATCTCAATCATTGATGGATGAACAAATACGGTAACTAGAGGAATACCTTCAGGATATCTGGACTAAATATGCCAACAATTTTGATTAGATAAAAACTAGAGAAGCATCCTTGAATACGTAGTTATTCCGCAAACAAAAACAAATAATATAACAGTATAAAGATACCTGCAGGTACTGAATGGGCTGGGGAATTCCAAGTTTATGCAGTAAATCGTAGCTGATGAAGGAATTCTGCATTGGGAAACCATACCAAACAATAAATTAAGAACATATAACCTTCCAGAGGCACACTGATCGATACATACACAGCAAAGCCATAAATACACTCCAGTCACTTCATTCTTAATGTGCTAGGCGACAAGCTAATGCATCCCACTGTTAAGATTCGAAAACAGGCTAATAGGCTATTGTTTGCAAAAACAAAATGCACAGCCAACCCATTAATGCGTTTCAATTTTTTATATTTTCTTTTTATATTTCATCACTCTTCTCACACTGATAGAGAAATTTGAATTTGAATATATATATATATATATATAAATATAAAATGCACATATGACTACCTTTAATTTTTATGGTTATATATGTATTCTTTTTCCACTAGGATGCTCACCTCTGGTGTATCTACCAATAGATCCCAAGCAATGAGAAACACGAGAAAATAAAACACAAGAAACAGGTGCAAAAATATGAATTCAAACCTGCGAAAAGAAAGAATCTACAGATTCCTTTTGAGCAATTGCAAAAACCTGTTGCAGAAACCTGGTCAATGTTATAAGAACAAGAAGACGAATGGTGACAGATAAAAACTACTTGTATATTTGAAACCCAATTGACAGAAACAATTAATGGCATCACATACTGTGGGTGTCCAATGAACTCCTGCACGAAGTGATCCAAGAATCTCACCATCCTTCACCAATCCATTGAACAATGTTTGGAAAAACGAACTCTCAACAGCCACACCACTGGCTCCATCCATTTCATGCAATAACAGCTGCAACGAGCTCCACAACGCTGACAAATTCATCGGAACAGTAATACCCCTTGCAGCACCGCGAACCATTGCATTAACACGTGCAACATAAGCGGGAGTATACAATTGCCCACCTTCAAGTCTACCTTTTACCTAAACAAATCACACAATTCAATGAAATTTACAAAACCCAACTTAATTTTCATGACAGTGAACAGAAAACTCACATACAATTATCAAAATTAAGTTATCAATGTCCCAAGTCGCAGCTCTAACAAGTTTGCAACTAAACAAATCACAAAATTCAATGAAATTTACAAAACCCAATTTAATTTTCATGACAGTGAACAACAAACTGGCATATAATTATCAAAATTAAGTTACCAATGTCCCGAGTGGCGGCTCTAACACGTTTGTAACTAAATAAAACCACACAATTCAATGAAATTTACAGGCCCAATTTAAAATTTTCATGACAGTGAAGGGGGAAAAAAAAAATCACATTTAATCTAATTTAACCCTCAAAATGAAGTTACCAATGTCCCGAGTCGCGGCTCTAACACGTTTGCAATTAACTCAGAACCGACTTGTAATTGTGCTGCAAGTTCAGCCAACGCAATTTGACTGCATTCTTGAAGGCGCTCGTTAATTTCTTCAGCTACGGTGTCCCAATAAGAGTTTGAAATGATTTCACCGTTGATTAGCATGAGCGATGAATCATTGGATACTATATGTTGAGATTGCTTCTCTACATAGTATAAATCTACACCAATTGTGTCAGCGAGATCAATCACCGAAACACGCCCTAATTTCTTGATCTCAGCAACGATTTCAAGCCTCAATTGTTCCTATTTAATAATAATAATAATAAATGCATATTATAAGAAGAAGAAATATATAAATATATACATATATACAGACATATATGAGAGAGAGAGAGAGAGATACAGGAGTGATGTATTCTTTGCCGGAGACAGTGTGGAGGAGATCGAAATCGATGATTTGGAGTTGTTGGAGTTTCTGGACCAATTCGACTACGTTGCGTTCGGATAATCGAATGCTCGACTTGGCTTGTTGAGCGAACTCGAATTGTCTCTGTAATTCCACAAGTTCTTCATCCATGGTTCGATCTTTGGTTGCACCGACACGATGAAATATGTATATATGTATCTGTATGTATATATCGATGTGAAGAGAAGAAGAAGAAGAAGAAGAAGAAGAAGAAGAGAACGGTGTTGGATAGCCCAAGATTATTGGGCTTGAAGACATTTCATGGGCCTAGTACAGAGGTTTTCTGGACCTTTTTTCATAAGAGAATGACTTCTATCTTTCGGCTGGATTACACAGTTAAGATTTTTTACCGGTCAAAATCATTAAATAGAGATTTTTTTATTGTTAAGAATCTTTAAAAAAATTTAATTGAATCATATCTTCATAGACTTTTACCGGTTAAAAACTACTATTTAATGGCTTTTACCGATAAGAAATTTTAACGGTATAGTCTAGTTAAAAATTTAACTGAAAAGAAACCAAATCCTTTTCATAATTGGAAGTTTGTGAATTACCTATCAAAATTGGATCTTAAAAAAAAAAGTAAATTATACTTTGCTTCTTGATGTTTGGCTACTTTCCTATTTTGGCCGTAAAAGATTTTTTTTTTTTTTTAGGCTTTCATGTTTCAATTTTTTTTTTCAATTTATCCTTAAAATTAACTTATGTACTTCAAAATTAGACAGAAAATACTATGATAACTATCACTTGACATAAAAAAATATATTATTGTATTGGGGTTTAAGTCAATTAATGTCATTTTTATCTAATTTTTAACAGAAATTAACTTTAGGAGTAAGTTGAAAAATATTTGACACATTAAGGGAGCAAAATGAGAAAAAAAGGCCAAAGTGAAAAAGTGATCAAACTTAAAAGGAGCAAAATGTAATTTATCCTAAAAAAAAATTACATATCAATTTATCTCTTTACTGCAATAACAAAAAAAAAAAAAAACAAATATATCAATTTATTTCCACTAATTTCCACACCCAAAAAAAAAAAAATGTAATATGCTTTTTTTTTTAAGTACGTAAAGTCCCTCAATACCGTTATTTGGAACAATGAGGTTCATATTTTTTGTGACAATATACCATTTTAAGATGATTTTATTTTTGTACGATAACAAAGAATTTTTTTTGTGGTGACAGTGACAACAGTTGACGGTAATAGAGTAAGGCATAGTTTGGGAAGTTAGTTTTGATGGGTTAAGGATAAAAATAGTCACAAAAAATAAAATAGGTTATTTTAGTCACAAAAAATAAAACATCAAATCCGATCCATAATTATTACACTCCTCTCTCACAAAAAAAGTTAAAAAAGTTAAAAAAGTCAAAAAACCCTTTCCAAACCAGGCTTTTTAGCCCCAGGTTAAAATAACCAAAAAGTCAAAAAGCCAAAAGTCAACCCACTTCCCAAACGGAGGCTAAGGCCTCGTTTGGGAACAGGCTAATTTAGTAACTTTTTGGCTATTTGGCTAAAAAGGTAAGTAAAAAAAACTTGTATGTTTGGGATGACTTTTTGGCTAATTACGAAAAGATGTGCAAAAAGTAGAGAGAAAAGAGAATCTTTGACTTTTTGGTATGGGTTGTTGGCTTTTTGGCTAATTTAGTAACTTTTTGGTAACTTTTTGACTAATTGACTAAAACAGCCTCTTGCCAAACGAGGCCTAAGTAGACTTTAGTGGTTGCAATGACCGTACAAGTCATGGTGGTGGTGGATGGCAATGCCTTAAAAGCGAAATGTTAGTAAAAGACTTTTTCAAATGATATTTTTTAATTTTTTATATTGTAATTTATTGTGTAAAAATTATTTTTTCTTTTAACTTTACACTAAATTTTGTAGGTTAATTAAAAGCTTTATGAGGGTTATGAAGTGTAAATTGTCATCATTTTTTCCTAATTGATAAGGTGGCAGTGATTGTAGTGAAATTTTTCCATTTAGATAATGTAAAGTTTTTTTTTTTTTTTTTGAACGCAGATAGTGCAAAGTTAGAGAAAAAAGAAATGTGTTGAACAAAAAAAATTTCTAAATCATTGTATTGGTATTGGTAGTGGTGAAAATTTTCTATTCAATCAAGTGATGCTCAAGGAGGGAGGTCCAAGTACTCAAATTTGACAAAATTTCACTTGTCATAGTTCCCATCAAACCATAACTAGAGTTGTTATATTCATAATCAAAGTTCAAAAGAGAGGAACTACCATTTACTTAAAAGAATAATGCTTGGACCCCTTTTTGGGGGTCACCCCCTCACCCCCTTTTGCCACGTGGCGGGTGGTGATTAGAGGAGCAGAAAAAAAAAGAAAAAGAAAAAGAAAAAGAAAATGTAACCAATAAAAGAGAGAGGGGGTCAAAGGGAGTGAGGGAAAAAAGGGAATGAATCATTGTTGTTACTTAAAATTATACACATGAAAGTAAATATGTAGGAAAAAAAGGGAAGACATCCCCCTGTATTTAAAAAAGAAAGAAGGTTAATTAGGTGTACGAAGCTTTTAAATCGCATACATTTTCTTATACTCGCTGTTCAAAACCTCTGAATCTGACATCACTGACATTGACCATGACTTCGACCTACCATTATGCGAGTTCTTTCTTATACTCCTCAAATTCGAAGCCTCAATCCGATGCATAATCACCCAATAACACATTATACCCAATGTAGTTGCCATTATAGTCGATCCAATGATTGTCACTGCAACTGCTAGCCACATTTCTTTCTCACCAACCACAACAAATGACAAGGCCAAGAAAGCCGCTGAAATGAGTGTACAAGCCAACCACATTAACTTATTTATAATTGCCATCATTTGCTTTTTTGCTTTGCTCTCTATCACAACAACTGAGGTTTGGACCACCACAACCGCAAGAGAAATGAATAGGGCAATCGAGTCGAATACAAAAAAGATCATAAACGATGCTGTTGGAGCAATATTCGCTTCCCCAAGAGAAAGCCCGGTAGGTATGTCTTTTGGGTCATCGACATATTGGCCAGGGACGGTAAAAATGGCTGCGAATGCCACAGTGGCAATTAGGACTGCGACCACAGTTGTTGAGTTGATCGCGTTGTTTAGGCCTTCTGTGTGCATTTTGTTGACACGTTTGGCAATTACTTGCACGCGTTTTCTTGTTTGGCGAGTGTGTTCTAGTTGGTCGTGGATTTCGTGCTTTATGTCGCTCACGGTTTGTTTCAATTCTCGGGCTGGATTTGGTGTTTGGGGCTTGATGGCTCGGACGCTTAGAACACCGTGTTCTCTTAGGATTGCTGCAACTTCAGATTGTCCGGTTTTCTCTGCAGTGTCCAAGGCCGTTTCGTTGCACCTGTTGACAGCTTTCGTGTTGGTTTCACTGTGGCCTAGTAGCAACTTGACAATCTGCACAAGTATAATGAGCCTTATGTTAGTTTGAAAACAAATACAATGAAAAGTTTAAAAAAAAATTATCGTGTTCATATTGTTTTAATTTCTGTGTGAAAATAATTTTTGAAAAATAAAAAAAAAAACTTCTGTTTTGAGAAAATGAAAATGGCAAAATAGAAAACGATGAAAACACAATTTTTTTTTCTTTGTTTTCATTTTCAGTGTTTTCATGAATAAAACAACAAAAGTTAAAAAACACTCATTGAAGATTCAAAAATAACTTTTTAGTATTTTATAAAACTGGGATGTTTTCACCAAATTTTCTCGCAAAAAGTTTTAGAAACAGATTGCTAAACAAGTTTTCATTGTCTTTTGAAAAATGAAAACACAAAAACATGAAGTCAAAAACATGCTCTCTTCTCATCAATTTTGCTTCTGTTTTAACATGCTCTCTTCTCTTTAATTTTCTGTTTTAAGCTCATGTTTGTGTTCTTATATATACGATAGAAATAAGTGTGTGAAGCACAAAAATTAGAGCAACAATAAAGCGCTAAAATGTAGTTTATCAAAGCTTCTAAACTAATAAACCTATGTCAACTAACATTTGTGACATGATTATGAACTTGAAGACAACCTATCTCAACTAACTTAAAGATCAGTTAATATGATACGAAAAATTCAAAAATTCAAAAAAAACCTGATTCCTCCCTTTCCGAGTTGCAATGTGCAAAGCGGTGTTGCCCTTAGTATCAACCATGTTTACCAATTCAGGGTCTGCCTTGACCAGCTCCTCCACCACTTCAAGGTTTTGACCTTTCACCGCCATGTGAAGGGCGGTTTGCCCCTTTTTATCAGTCCTTGTTGCAATTCCAAGTTCATTGCTAAGAAGAGCTTTCACAACCTCTACATGCCCGTTTCTTGCTGCAGAGTGCAAGGCTGTTTTCCCGTTGCTCTTAGCTATGGCGGCCAGGCTGCTCTCCGACTCCAAGAAAAAATCCACTACCTCCCTATGCCCTTGCATTGCAGCAGTGTGCAAAGCCGTGGTGTTTGTCATGTCAACGGTCATTGACAGCTCCGGATGGGCCTCCATTAGTACCTTCACCACCTCTGCAATACCATGCCAAAATATGCGATTTGTTAAATTTTAGTCTCCATTCCTTGAAAACTAATTTCCACACTCTAGTCCTTAAAATGTGCTTTCTTTTACATTTTATTCTCTCGCATCAACTCCATTCAAAATCAACAATGGAAGGAAGGACATTTTTGGAATTTTACATGACGCGTCAACAAAATCAAAAGCACTAAATATACACAGTCCCCAAAGTATGTATTTTGTTACATTTTGTTCCCCAAAGCATGCATGTTGTTGCATTTTGGTCCCTCCAATCTTTTAGTTTTGTTGCATTATTTTTGTAAAGTTTTGAAAATAGCCCTCCTCTCGTTATTGATTTTGAACAATACTTTGATATGAGGGACTAAAATGTAACAAATTGCAAGGGCATAAAGTGGAGGAAAAAAAAAAGATAAGGAACTAATGTGTAACAAATTGCATAATTTGGAGATCATTAGTGTAATTAACCCAACAAAAATTTATCTTCACATTAAGATGGGGCAAGTATGACAAAATCAAACAGAGCAAACACAACTTGAATATGAGTCATAGCTTGACATACCCAAATCTCCTTGTTTTGCAGCAATGTGCAAAGCATCAAAACCATTCCTAGCTTTAATGCTGGCTTCAACAAGATCATAGTACTTGATCATCTCCCTCACCAATTCAACATAACCATACTCTGCGGCCACAAAAAGGGCGGTTTCGCCAGCCTGGTTTTGCTTCAACAACAATTCTTCTAATTCTTCCTCTCCATTTGAACCATTTAGGATCTCCATTATGACGCCAAGTTGCCCCGCCCTCGCTGCTGAGTGCAATGGCGTGTCATCGCGCTTCCCCGTTAATTGTTTTGTCATTTTTTTCCGGGGTGTGCTTTGCACACCTACCGGTGCCTCCATGGTAATGGTGTTTAATTCCCCTAAAACACCCCCCTCCAGTTCTAATCGATAGAACAAAGTCTTTTATTTTTTCCCTCAAAAACCCAGATCAACAATCGCATTTTTAATTCTAAAAAATCTATAATTATTCAATGCAACCCAGAAAAAGTTCATCTAGATTACTATTGAGCTCTAGGGATGAAAAGGGGAAAACTTGGAATTTGATTTCCACAGCTCTCATCTGTGGTTGGCAATGGCATATCCTGAATCCCAAATCAATTTCCTGTTCACAAACAATAATCATATAACCATCCACACATTATAAGTTTTATAAAAAAAAATAACAGTTCCGCGCACGAGGTTGTGGGTCTGGGAAGGGTTAGATATACGCAACCTTACCTATACGCAAATATGCTATTTTACACATAATTTGAAATTTTGATTTCCAAGCCTACCTTCTAGCAATGTTCATTATACAAGTTAATTACAATTCCATATAAGTGTCTAGCTATATATATTCATCGATATCAGATTGTATCAGCTGATATATCAATTAATATGGGCATTGAAATTTCAAAATCTTGATACAATGATGTTTAAATTTTAAAACTCTAGTTATCAATTCTTCTTCATTTGTCTCTTTCTCCTATATTTTTTTTTTCCCATGTTAAAATTACAACTAAAATGATAAAATTGCATAAAAACCAGGAAATAAAAAATAAAAAAATAAAAAGAGGCACCAATGTTTACCTGGGTATGATGAAGAAAAGTGCAGCTTTTGCTCTTCTCCATCAAAAACCAATGAACCCATATGTCAATATATGTATGTATGTATAACTATATATATGTATACGTATTTGTTTAGATGAAAGCTAAGTTTGGAGCTGTTTCATTATTGTATTGAAGCAAAGAACGGTGAAGAGAGAGAAAGAGAGAGCAAATGGTAAAGGCTGAGAGGAAGGGGGTGGGGGATATGAAAGGCACATGCAAAAAAAAAACAAACCTTTTGACAAATACAAATCTGAATTACACACACAACTCTAAATTTTAAATAAAGAAACCAAAAGTTAAAATCTAATAAGGATGGGTCTTTTGTAAAGGTGATGGTAATGATGATCAAGATTGAAGATTTCTTTTTTTTTTAAAAAAAAAAATTAAAATAGAAAGCCTTATAAAAATTACATAAAAAAAGAAAAAAGAAAATAAGGGAAAGGATAAAACCAGGGGTGGTGGTGGGTAATGAACCAACTGTAATACCTGAAACGCGCGTTGAGACATGAAAGGGATTTATTGGAGATGTTTGGTACAGTTTAAAGTAAAAAATTAGAAGTTAAATGCACGTATTCCTTAGCCTTAAGATAATCATATTTTTTAAACTAATTTATGTTAGAACCCCACAAAGGTACGTGTGTAAATTAATTGTATAAATTAAATAAATAATAAAATAAAATAATTTAGAAAAATAATTATACAAATTATTTTCCAAATTAAATGTTTACAGAAATTAATGTCGAGGGTTGTGTTGGATACAATCTCCTTAAAGTAGATTTCGCCTTTGCTCCGGTGCTTTGAGTTTTATTGGCGTCTACTTCCCAGGATGCAACGACTAACACTTAAATTTACAGCATTACAAATTCAAGTCTTGCGAACCAAAACTTTGATGAAACTCTTTTTTTCTTTTCCTAAAATTAAATGCTGAACAAATGCAGAAAATATGAAGACAAAAAGGGGAGAAGAGAGACAAAAATCTGAGGGAAAATCAATGTTCTGAATTGCTGGAAGGCTGGCTTTTTATAGGCAGTTTGGTGGCTTTTCCGAACAGGTATAAAACCTATTTGGACAGATTGAAAAGGCACCAGCAGATTTGAATCTGTTTGGAATAGATTCATTTCAAGTTGAACTTGTTTTGAACCCTTTGAACTGTTTGGGTGGGTTGAACCTGTTAGGGACTTGTTTGGGTGAAGAAATAATTCTGGACCAATTTATTTTGAATTTTGAAACCAAAATTAAAAATCAAAAATAAATTACAAAAGTTTTTGACCCAAAAAGATAAGCATTGGGCCGGACAAGCCTAACCCAACCTCACACTACGCACCCAAGCCCAGCCCAGCTAGCCTGATCGACCGGACGGACGGCGACGGCGGTGCGCACGTGTGGTTTTAATTTTGGGTCCAATAGGTATAGCCCACTTCACCCATAACCTCACCCTTCCACAAACTTGGGTACTCCTTGGGGTCCATCTTAAGTATCCCAAGCTAAGTATATAAACCCATTCAAAACCTCAAGCCTTTCCAATGTGAGACAAGAACATTTCACAAATGTGTAGGAAACCCACCAAAAAACTAGTTCCACAAATCCGAAAATGTGCGTTGAATTCTCATTCATCTGGAAATGGTTTTGAGCAACCAAATACATGAATTTATTCACTGCACGACATTAAACATGAACCTAATTAGAAACGTTAAAAATAACGCTTGGGTCCCACCTTAATTAATGCTCAAAATTAGCAAAAAATAAGATAACACAAAAGCCATTTTTTAACAATTCCTCACATGAATAGAATTCACGAGAACGGACATGCAACAAGATGCAGACAAAGAAAGAGTACATTAAGAAGATATACCACATCGAGATAGGTAGCTTTTGGTTTTGAACCTCCTCTAATGAAAGCCTATCGGACTTACTGGCTAACAAGTGGATACGATGCCTTAAATTGTTCTGCTATTTGTGTAAGCCAAGACAATAGACTACACATAGTGTATATGCAGACACAGTTTGGTTCTTACGGTTGTGTTTATTTTGGCCCTGAACAACGCCTGGTAATTCATAAGCGCTCTAGAGAATTTAGCCTTCTTAATTCTCACAGAACCGGCCCAGTTCACACTCATATAGGTGGTTTCTTATTAAGAGTATCCTGCTATATCCACTTGGATGTCCAAGTTATAAGAATCATTAAAAGCAAAACTTATCCTACTAACGCTGCAGGTATCACTCTTCTTATCATAGAAATGGGTAGAAGTAAGCCTCCTTAGTGATACGTGAAGTCATCCATAATTCGGTTGTCCCTTTGAACTTAGATTTTGGGATTTCCAGTCAACTAGGTTGGGTTGCCATTAAAGCGACTTTTAAGTAATAGGCTTCAATCCCATTTCTCTCGATAAATAGTACACTTGCTCTCTGGCTAGCCCTTTAGTCAATGGATCTGCAATATTCTCCTTTGGCTTTACATATTCTATGAAAATTATTCCATGTGAGAGCAAATGCCTAATGGTATTATGCCTTTGATGAATGTATCGAGACTTACCGTTATACATATGATTCTATGCTCGTCCTATTGCTACTTCACTATCACAGTGAATGCATATAGCTGGCACAGGTTTAGGCCACATTAGAATGTCTTCTAAGAAATTACGAGGCCATGCTGCTTCTTCTCATGTTTTATTTAATGCGATAAACTCAGATTCCATTGTCGACCTAGCTATGCATGTCTACTTGGAAGATTTCCAAGAGACTGCAGCACCTCTCAGGGTAAAGACATATCCGCTAGTGGATTTTGAGTCTTTAGTATCCGATATCCAATTTGCGTCGCTGTACCCCTCGAGTACTGCTGGATATTTGGTATAATGTAAGCCATAATTCTGGGTGTGTCTTAGATACCTAAGTACCCTAATTATCGTTTTTCCAATGATCGGATCCTAGATTACTTGTGTACTTGCTCAATTTGCTTACAGTATAGGCTAAATCTGGCCTAGTGCAATTCATTAAGTACATCAAGCTTCCGATTATCCGACAGTACTCTAATTGTGATATACCTGCACTTGTATTTTTTGACAAATGAAAACTAATGTCAACAAGTGTTTTAGCAGGACAGTTGTCATGCTTTCCAAATTTCTCCAAAATCTTCTCAACATAGTGAGACTAAGATAAAGCATATCATTCAGATGTTCTAGTAATTTTTATTCCTAGAATTATATTTGCTACTCTCAGATTTTTCATGTCAAACTTTTTGTTCAACATTTTCTTTGTGGATTTAATCATGTCATTATTGCTTCCAATAATGAGCATGTCATCCACATAAAGACAAACTATGACATAACCTTTGTTTGTGCTTTTAACATAGACGCATTTGTTACATTCGTTTATCTTAAAACCATCCAAAAGCATAGTGTGATCCAATTTTTCATGCCATTGTTTCGGAGCTTGTTTTAATCCATAAAGGGATTTGACAAGTTTATAAACCTTTTTCTCTTGGCTGGGAACTTGAAACCCTTCTGGTTGTTCCATATAGATTTCTTCATCTAACTCGTCATTCAAAAAAGCTGTTTTAACATCCATTTGATGTATTTCAAAATTACACAAAGCTGCAAACGCAATCAACTTGCGAATGGATGTTATTCTTGTCACTGGTGAATATGTATCAAAATAATCAAGGCATTCCTTCTACTTGTATCCCTTAACAACAAGCCTAGCCTTGTATTTATCTATTGAATCATCCGTTTTCATTTTTCTCTTTAATATCTACTTATATCCAAGAGGTTTTCATTCTGGTGGAAGATCCACCAGTTTTCAAGTATGATTTTGCAGTATTAATTCAATTTCACTATTTATAGCCTTTCTCCACAACGGAGCTTCAGAACTTAGCATTGCTTCCTTGAAGTTTTGAGCCTCATTTTCTAGCAGGTAGGTCAGGAAATTTAGACCAAATGATTTAGAGATCTTAGCCCTCTTGCTACGTCTAGGTTCATCTGATTCATTATTATTGTGGTCTTCACTGTTACCTATAACAGTATCAAAAGTTCTTTTATTTGAACTTATCTCTTCAGTTTCCTTGTAAGGAAAAATGTCTTCAAAAAATGATGCATCCCTTGACTCAATAATAGTGTTTACATGCATATCAGGATTTTCAGATCTATGAACTAAAAATCTATATGTACTACTATTATTTGCATAACCAATGAATACATAATCAATAGTTTTTGGTCCTATCTTAGTTGTTTTGGGACTAGGGACTGCAACCTTGGCCAAACACCTCCGCACTTTGAGCTAATTGTAGGTAGGTCGTCGACCTTTCCATAATTCATAAGGTGTTTGATTGAGTTTCTTGTGGGGTACCCTGTTAAGGATAAAGTTAGCAGACAAAATTGTCTCCCCTCACAAGTTCTGAGGTAATCCTGAACTAATCAACATGGCATTCATCATCTCTTTAAGAGTTCGATTCTTTCTCTCAGTAACTCCATTTAACTAAGGAGAATAGGGTGTAGTGGTTTGGTGAATGATACCATGTTTAGAACAAAATTCTTTAAATAGTGCATCATACTCACCATCTCTGTCACTTCTCACTATCTTAATAGTTTTGCCAAGTTGATTTTCAACCTCAAATTTATATTGCCTAAAAGCTTCTACGGCTTCATCTTTACTTCTCAATAAGTAAACATAGCAATATCGAGTGCAATCATCAATAAAAGTAATAAAGTACTTCTTACCTCCTCTAGTTTGAACAAATTTTAAGTCATAGATATATGTGTGAATTAAACTCAGAGGTTCAGTACTTCTTTCAACTTTATTAAATGATGCCTTAGTGAGTTTTGCCTCAACACAAATCTCACATTTATGATTAGGATCAAATTCTAAGTTAGATAAACATTCTAAAGCAACAAGTCTACGAAAAGAATTAAAATTAACATGTCGTAATCTATCATGCCATAAGAAAGAAGACTCAACAATATAAACAAAAGATGTGTTCTTATTATTAAAAGCCAAATTAGGTACAATAGTATTTACATTGAGCTTAAAAAGCCCATCACTCATGTAACCTCGCCCCACATACATTCCACTCTTGGAGAGTAAAAGGTTATTAGATTCAAAGACTAATTTAAACCCATTCTTGATCAACAATGACCCAGAAATCAAATTATTGCGAATCTCTGGCACATGGAGTACATTGTTAAGAGTAAGTTCTTTCCCGAGGTCATTTTCAACACAATCTTTCATTGTCCTTCTACAGTTGAAGTGGAGGAGTTTCCCATAAAA